TTTGTCCCCCAACTTTAACCTAGCCCATAACTATTGAGTGGTAGGGGCTATGGCTTTCATAATTCAAAGGTGTGTTACTTGTGACATAACCTTTCTTTGGGTACCACCAAATTTGACCTCTTGACCTTGACCTTGGAGTTTGACCTACTTTTATTAGTCCCCTACCGGTGAAACCGGGGGGGGGACTATAGGTTTCCTCTGCGTCCGTCCATCCATCTGTCTAGCTGTCTGTCCCCGTCAGTCTGTCTCACTTGGTTTTCCACACTTTTTTTCTAAACGCTTGCAGATATTGAGCTGAATTTTGGTATGTGAGTGTATCTTAATGAGTTACAGATCAAGTTTGAATTTTGCTTAGCTTCAATGATTTTTGATAGAATTAGGGCATTTTGAATATTTTTTCATAATCGCTTAATTGAGATCGGATTCGAACTGCGCTAACTTCCGATTGTCGACAAAAATATGAAGCGAGGAAAGGACGGTGGAGAAATGAGTTGAATTTTCGTCTTAATGTGGATTATTTTATTAGTTTTAAGGCATTTACAACTTGAAAATCTTTCAGTTTTACCTTGAACATGACTTTTGCATATTATAAAATGACATCCAGAAGAAAAAGGGGAACCCGGTAGGGGACATGTATTGCTTATGCAATACTCTCAGAATGCTTGTTCTATTTGTTATCAACTTTAACTTTCGCCATAACTTTTGAACAGATCAAGATAGAGACTTGAAGACTTCATATATATAATGCATAGACTCCACTAATTAAGCACTTTCATCTGACACCAAGGACAATGACCTTTTGACCCTGACTGTGACCTATTTGCTAAAATTAAATTTTTCGAACTTTGGGTATAACTTTTAAACAATAGGAGATAGAGACTTGATATTTGGTGTGCCTACTTCACTATTAAAGTGCTTTCAAACGACACCGAGGTCAATGACCTTGTGACCTTGACTGTAACCTTTATGCTAAGAATAGATTTTTCAAGCTTTGTTGCTGTGGAGGCACAGTGTTTCACAAACACATCTTGTTTTTGTATATTTCTTTGAATAATGCAAACATTTTCACAATTTGATATTTTTTCAAAACCCCTAGTAACACTAAATTAGAAACATAAAGAATTATTGTTCACTTCCAACATATAAATTCTAACATTAATTATAGTGAACATAATGTATGTAAAAACTTAATTGATTTGTTATCCAATGTAGTTTTAATAGTCAAGCTGATGGATGTGATCATGGTGATAGGTATACATTTCAAAAACTAACTAGTGGTAAATAAAGCACTGTAGTATTAAGCTTTGAATGCATTGATAAAAATGTCTTATTTCATCATGTTCATTACATGTACCTGGGTTTTTTTTTTGCCGGTAGGTGGTTATTTCAGTTAGGTTAATAAAGAGAAACATACGAGATGTAATTAAATTTCATTCTTATATATTCATTCATAAAGATGATGAAGATACCCAACATAATGATTAAAAGATAAGGAGAATAAATCAGATTGGTGATCAATATCCAAAAGACAGGATGGTGGATCTAAAGGGAATGGGTTCCAACATTTTCCTTTGTTTATTGCATGGTTTTGAATTTCACATTTACCCCAGACAAATCAAAATGAGTTATTTGTAGGTTGATCTAATTAAGAGGCTTTATCTTTTTGATTATGGCTAATTGATTTCAAACAGTTTGCTTATAAGTCATTTGATATCATGGTCCAAAGTTATGAGTGGTGGATCCAAGGGGAGTTGATATTGAATTTTTAATTACTTATCATGCTTATTGTAGATCATCATGGCATATACTAATTATTATTGCACATTTATTTAAACATTTAAGTAACCTTTCTTTGTGTGATAAGTGATGGATCAAAGGCATGTATATTTCACCAGTAATTGTTTTGATAGTTGAGGTGGATCCAAGGGGGTGGATAGATATATTTTTAAATATTAAATTTTGTAATGTGTCAAAGGAATCAATAATGATCATGTGATGTTTATGGTTAATTGATTTTAAACATTTAACTTATATATCATGTGTGATCAAAATCTAAACTTATAGGTGGTGGATCCAAGGGGGTGGATATTAATCTTTTTTAAATATTTGTGGTGGGTGCAGGATCAAAGAATATTAATGATCAATGATTGTGGTTAATTTATATCAGACATTTAGCTTATATGTCATGTTTGATCATGATCTTAATTTTAAAGGGATGGGTCCAAGGGGGAGTGGATATTTATGTTATATAGTAGTTGTGGTTGATCCAAGGGGAGTGGATATTAATTTTAAATACATGTATTTGTGATGGGTAAAAGGATATTAATGATTATAGGCTTATAGCTAATTGATTTCAAACATTACGATTATATGTCATGTATGATCAAGATCTAAACTTATAAGTGGTGGATCCATGGGGAGTGGATATTAATTTTATTTTTTTTTTAAATATTTGTTGTGGATCAAAGGATATAAATGATTATGGCTAACTGATTTCAACATTAAGCTTACATGCCATGTGTGATCATGGTCTTAACTTACATTAGTGGTGGATCCTTGAGGAGTAAATTTTTTATTTTAAAATATTTGTGGTGGATCAAAGGATTTTTTTATTATAGTTTTTTAAAAAGAAGAATTGCTGTCCATCCAAGTGTATACAGAAGATTCCCACGAATGCAGTTTTTTTCCATCAGGAAGCAGTTTTGGAAACTGGTCATTACTCAGCAGAATCAGGATATTTCAGTATTGTATGCAAACAAAGATAAGACAGTGTCACTAGCACAAATTTAAGTCCCCTTTCGGTTGATTGTACTTTTTCTTAACAAATAAAAATCATTATCTCAGACACTCCTCTTCTCTTGGCAAGTCATTTGGTTCTTCTCTTGGCAAGTCATTTGGTCGAGTTTTCTCTGGCAATAGTATTTGTTTATGACCCTCACTTTAATTAAAATGGCTCTACAAAAGCAGTTTAACAATGAGTATATAATTTGAATTTGTATATAATTGAAGATAAAATGCTTCATAAAGGATATTCAGACATTGCATTCTTATCCCATTATTCCCATATCTGCTTATTTATTTATCCCATGGGATTAAAAATACCCAGTATTATGTACTTTGCAGGATTTTTAATCCTAAGAAGGGCAAATATGGGATTTTTAATCCTATGTCGCCTTTTATGGGAGAAAAAATCCCATGGGAGAAAAAATCCCTCAAAGATTTTTTTCTCCCATGGGATTTTGGTGGGATTTTTGGTGGGATGAAAAATCCCGCCATTCTCCCATGGGATATTAGGTTTTGACAGAGGTTTATGAGAAAACTACTACAATGTGAAAGTTGAGATGAACATGATGAGGTCAGAATAAAAAATCCCACCAAAATATATAAAAAAATCTAATGTAGGTCTTTTCGAAAGGGTACCTAAAAGTCCGGACTTTGTCGTGTCCGGACTTAAATGTCGCAGTGTTTTTATCAACTGATACTTTCTATCTGTTAACCAATAAATAATTTATAAACTGTTAAAGTTTTAACTTTATACCATACATAGTTTTGAGGATATTGTAAAAATAAAATTTTGGACATGATGACCTTTGACGAAACCTTAAACCCCAGTCACATTTCCAAAAACGACCAATGACCGAAGGGGTTTGACGCAAAAATAGGACTCTTCGGGTGACAGTCGTCAGTTCATCGGCCGATGTCTTGGCCGATTTTGACCTCTTTTTTTGTCGGCCGACGAATTTTGTGTCCATCGGTCCAAGTTTTAATTTTTTATGCATTGGTGGCCGATTTTTTCAATTGAAGTTATCCGTCGACCAACCTTCGATCATCGTCCGACCCCCGGCGGTCAGTTTATAAAGTCGGTTGTCCGTCGTTGGAAAATAAGGGTGTTGAATGTTTCGTCCAACTCTTAAAATCAAACTATAGCTCAGAACTCGATGATCGGTCGATGATTGGTCGACTTGTGAATATTTTACATAGTAAAATAACATAACACAAATAAAATTTTTATGCAATGATAGATACAATTTTTTTTGGAACGGAAATAGCATGAATAATTGATCCGTAAGATATAAAGAAATCTTTAGTATTCTCTGTTGCTTAGATATGCACCACTTGTCATTTCTATGCAATTTCATTCAAAATTTTGCACACATTTTCAACATTGAGTCACAATTTTATAAGATTCTGCCACTTTGCCTTGCAAACATTACTCATGTCACTTATCTGAATATAGATCTATGAAAAAATTTTGCTGAATTCTAAAAAAAAAAAAGAATTTTTCCTAGGGACACCGATGACTTGGACAAATTACACAAAAATTCTAAGAGTTTTGGAACCAGAGAGCACATGTGACTGCTCCGTGTCGCCCGATACTGTATCGGCCGATCATGTTCTTTCAGCCAACAAGACCAGAAAAATTTAGACGCCCGAGCATTGGCTTAAACGTGACCTAGGCATTTGTCTAGAGGCACTGTGCTATTGATAAATTTTGATTGTGGCTTGTAGTTTGCTTCGCAAGTATAAGAAATGAACTCCGTTTGAGAACGGTGAAATATCCAGTTTTCACAAGGTCGCGATCCTGGCTCGTAAAATTTCAAAATCGTAAAAAACCTGGGAAACATCAGATATATCGGACTATATATATATTGGATAATTTAAAACGTCCCATTTCAACCATGTAGCATCGATTTTGAAAGTGGTGGGTGGGGGCAGCCAGATAGCCAGATGGGGAGGAGGGGGCAACTAGCCTTTAAATGAACATTTCCTATAGTATAAGTAAGGTGGGTGAAAAAAGTGGGTGGAGCAGCCCCCCCCCCCCCCTGTCCTCACCGGTTGCTACGTGCCTGCATTTTAAGTCTACATATAAAAGAAATATATCTTTTTTAGATATCCTCAATGATATAGTGTTATAATATACATCTTAACTGTTATTTTAAATACCTTTTGTCTGTGTCTGACTGCATTTGTTCAAGGTCTTGTAAGCTAGATACTTTTGATACAGTACAACTTAAATTTTATTTTTATACCTTTCCTTTAACTGCATTTGTTCAAAGTCTTGCATGTGTTCCCTTAAAGTCAAATACGTTTTGATTAGTCCGGGAACGGGTAGCACCTTGATTTTGGATTCTATCTCGGCTCCTTGTCCAGCATCAATTAACTTCATTCGTATTGCAGTTCTGCATAAAGATAAAAGCGATATCGCCTCTTTTTCTTCATGTTTCTTCAAAACATTTAAAAATTCGTTTTTCTCTTGCTCGTAGTTAATTCTTTTGTACGGTTTGCCTTTAACGAAAATTATCGAATTTTCTAGATTTGAAAAGTCCACGTTTTGTAAGTCCTTATCATTTTTGCAGTTATATCCACATTTAAGCAAGCTAGCTGCAGCCCCAAAAAACCCATTTCTCAGCAAATTGGACAATGTCGATATCGAGCCATAGTACCTGCTAAAATATAAGAACTTTAAAGTCTCTTTGATTTAAGGTAAACTTCAGAAAATATATTATTTGATTTCATAGAAGTTAAAATACGCAAATAGGGTTTGTTTGGTTGAATAAATCCAAGATAATGTTAAATTAATAACTGTTTTTATAATAACTTACTACGTTGTTTTTACAACAGGATCTATTTTAGCTCCACTGCAGATCAACCTATTGAACAATGAAAGGTCAAATTTTGCAACGGTCGCCGTTTCTGAATGGTCGATTTCCATGGAGTTCGTACCTTCTAGATCTGTCATTCGTTTTATCACATTTGTTAATGGTGTTTCTCCATATGTATTTGGCTTGTTGACACTGCATCCATGTTCAAGCAAAAGCGAAGCAATTTTATTTCTTGCAGACTCTGCCTCTAGAAAAAGGAGTAAAATACACATCTGTAATATTAAAATTTAGGTTTCGTGTTTTTACATTTTTTTAAATTATATTTACCTTATTCATCCAGTAATTTATTTATTTTCCAATAATAAACATACAGGATATAAAAATCTTATTCAAATTTAGCAATATTTAAACAAAAAGCCCATGGGCCCCATCGCTCATCCGAGCACTGTGTCTATGAAAAAAAAACAAATTTAATAAATACCTAAGTGGTCCGATCCTAAACCAGGGGGGTATGATTTGAACAAACTTCTATCTATGCAAACTTGAATCTACACTCAATAAGGATGCTTACATACTTTTTTTGACATAGTGTGACTTTCTTCCCTATAAGTTTAAACTTTATATTGTGGTCTCACCCGAACCTGGAGTCATGATTTTAACAATTTGTATGTAAATGATGATGCCTCCTTATAAACAAGACTAATCATGACTTTGCTGTTCTTGAAAAGATTTTTCCTATATACTTCTATACAAAACTTTGATCGGCCAGTGTTGCCCTGCCCTATCCCTGGGGATCATGATTTGAACAACATTGAAGCTACAATACCTGAAGGTGATTCCATATAAATATGACCAATCAAGGCTTTGCTATTTTAAAGAATATCTTTCCTATATATTTCTATGTGAAACTTTGATCGCTGCTATTGTGACACCGCCCTCCCCCAGGGGTAATGCTTTAAACAAATTTGGATATACACTACCAGCAAGAATGTTTTTAAATAAATATGACTTATCATGGCTTTGCTGTTCTCAAGAAGATTTTTTTCTATATATTCCTATGTAAAACTTTGATCGTCCATTGTGGCCCCGCCTTACCCCCGGGAATCATGTTTTGAACAAACTTGAATCAACACCACCTGATGAGGTATCCACATCAGTTTAATCTTTCCCGGAACAGTGGTTCTTGAGAAGAATAATTTTGAAAATTGCCATAAATTTTTCTATAATTATCAATTAACTTCGAGAAACTTGAATCCCTTTACCCAAGGATACTTTATTGCAAGTTTGGTTGAAATTGGTCCAGTGGTTCTTGAGAAGAAGTCGAAAATTTAAAAAAGTTTACAGAGGACAGACAGAAAACTTCATGTAGACAGACGGACGACAGATAAAATGTGATCAGAAAATCTCACTTGAGCTTTCGACTCAGGTGAGCTAAAAAGTGTGATTTTACATGTAATCAGGCAAAAATTTTGATAAACGTAGTTTGATAGAATAAATCCAAATTTTGTGTTTTGACATACCCGCTTTTCACCAAAAATGGTTACCTCCAGTTTTCTTTTCATTTTTTATAAGAAAAATGAAAATTGCACGATATATGTGAAAAAACGAAAAATTTCATCATGTATTTTTTATTTTAAATTTTAAATGTATTTGTTTACTGGAGAGTTCTCGTATGTAATTGTGTATAAAACACGACAAATGGTCCATATCTTGACAGTGTCCTCAATACTACAATAAATACAAAGTTACAAATTTCATTCTTATTTTTCTGAGCATAAAACATACAAATATATTTCCAAGAATTACATTTTTTATCATTCCGTTTTCGCAATTTTCAACTAGATCGGAACTCGTTAAGAGAATGTGTCCCACTTTGATTTGTTATGAGAGGGAATATAAATATATCACTGATGGAAACATCTACTTACTTAAATCGCACGCTATATGCAATGTAGTATTTTCCTTTCGATCACACGAGTGAAAATTTGCTCCTTTTTCTATAAGATATTTTACAATATCTGTATGTCCTGACTTAATGGCCAATAATATGGGCGGTTCGCCGTCTGTATAATGATTTGGATCAGCTCCGTTTTCTATCAAAGACAAAATGAAAACTTTCCAATCAGCATTCAAGCCATAACATTCAATCTTTTGGATGCACTTATTCAATACAAAGTTGATGTTTGGATCCGCTCCTTTCGATAAAAGGAACACCCTGCTTGGTCAGAAGAACCATAAAATAAATTGGATAGAAATTTGCATTTACTCCTATATCTAAATATTTATCCAACCTTGTAATTACAAAAAAAAAAACAAATAGAAGAATCTGTTGTATTCCTCTCAGCGGTCTCAAACTGTAATTATTTATTTATGATCTTCAATTTTGGGAATTGATATATTACGTTATCATCTGGAAAAACAGAGTGATACATTTCATGGTTGCGTAAATTTAGAATGTACAAAAAATACATTGATAATTAACTTTCAATTTTGTGCATAATATTTAAAGGAAATTAAAATCATTTTCATCATCATATATTCCTTAAATAGTAGCATACCTTCCCCTCTTGTCTCACAAAGAAAACTTACTGGGGTATGTCCTTTATTGTCTAAAGCATTTATATTTGCCCCATAATCCGAAAGCTGCTGAATAATATTTTCTGTGTTGCACTTTCGGTATTTGGAACAAAAAGCTTTGATTGCAAGATGTAGAGGGGTTCTTCCATCATGATCTCTGCCATGCACATTTGCCCTGTTTTCCAATATTCCGTGTACCATATTCTCTATGTCATCTTTTAGAATATGATTTAAATGAATAATCGAAAATCTTTTTAGATTGATAAAAATATTATAAATTGTGTTTCATTAAAAATTATGTTTATCCTAAGATACAGAGTCTACTTAGGACAGTTTATTATCCACAAAATCTGTAATTTGGATTTAAAAATCAACATACTTCATTTCATCGTCGCAAGTCACGGGTTTTATGTTCATTCTTTTTCTAAAAGTCCTACTTAAAATTCTCTTCTTTATCGCTATTTAGCGATTAGATATTTATCAAGTGACACGAGAATAAAGAATTCATTCTGTGGCACTATTTGGGTACGTGTTGTTGCGACACCCACAACAAAATTAAATTTGCTATCTATGGCACGCCAAATTGTCAAAATTGAGCTAAACATTGTTTCACGATTGATAAACTAGGTTTATCGACTGTAAACTATAGTTTACAAACCGTAAACTATAGTTTACAAACCGTAAACTATAGTTAACAATTCGTAAACTATAGTTTTTATCTGTAAAACTAAATTTTTCGGTCGTTAACTATAATTTACGAACTGCTAATCTAAGTTTATCTGTCTGTAATAAAGCGTTAACAATTATAGATTTTGTTGATAAACATAGATTTGCATTTGTAAACCATGGTTTACATTCGTAAACTATAGTTAAGAGTTGTTAATCATAGTTGCACAAATCGTGAAACTATTTTTATCAGATCGTTTACTATAGTTAACGGTTTGTAAACTAAAGTTTGCAAATCGTGAAACTTTATTTATCAGATAATCTATGTTTTGCAATTGCAAATGATTGTTTTCGGTGTTAAGTAGAGTTTACGGTTGTGAAACATAGATTATCGTGTTAACTATGGTTTAGAGATGCAAAATATAGATTAACGTTGTTAACTAAAGTTTACATTTTGTAAACTATAGTTTACACTCGATATACCTAGTTTATCGATTGTGAAACTATGTTTAGCTCACTTTTGTGAATTTGGCGTGCCATAGCTATCCGTGATAGATTTATTGACAAAAACGATAGATAAATAAATACAGAGACGAGTAACATAGTTAATAAAGTATTAAGCATAATATTAATTTCAAAGACAGTGTTTCAAATGCGGATTTTGTGTGAGGAGTGTTCCTTATTTACAAAAGAAAATTTAGACCGAGTTGATGCATTGCTTTTGGTTATGGTTAGATCCAAATATATCCCCAATTACTGAGCCCTCTCCGATTTTTTTATCTGTTGTTTTCAAGAGATGGCTACAATTCCACAACATCCCCGTAATGTGCAAATATATTTTTTAAATACCGGCGACTGCAGGCAAAATAATTTTTTTTACATTCAACTCACTTGTAATAAGACGAATTTTTTTATTCATTGTCAACAACATAGCCTGTTTAATGCGAAAAACATGTAAAATAAATCTACTTGTTTCCAGTTGATCTACTCAGCAGCCATGCTAGTTTATGCGTGATGTACTGAGACTTTCGTTTGAAATTTAGAACAACTTAATAAAGCAAATGTAAGGGTTTATAAAAGATTTTGATGAATGGTATCACAAAAACATTGATAAATAAAACCATATCTAGTGTTTTTTTAAGGAAACAGCGATATGTATGCTTAAAATAAGGGACTTTCTAAAAAAAATCTACTCTTAAAGATCCAAAATTCTCATTGGCTGTCGCCAAATAAAATTATGAAGGTCAGGAAAACATGGCGGATGAATTCAAGTTGCGATGTTGACATACACGAAAAGTAACCGATATATGGATCGTTATGAATATTCTAGGATCGATTTATGTATTGCATAACTTCATTTATGGAATCCAGGTAAGAAATGTTAAGCCATTTACTTTTCGCTGCCGTACAGATTTGGAGTTCAAATTACGTACAGTGCCGTGACAGTTTTTTATTACGTAAAATCTATGATGTAACGTTACTATGACGACACAAACAAAGTTGGTATGAACCGTTTTTGCCTTTCGCCTTTTGCAGAAAATGGTTTAAATACAGACAATAAATAATAAATTCTACAAAACGACAAGATCCTTCAAAAATATATTTACAATACAAGCAAAATTAATGCACAAATAATATATTTTCAGTAGATTAGGTAGGTGGGTTTTATAATTTTTTCAATAAGAAAAATAATATAACGTTACGTCAAGAACCTGAAAGTCAAATATTTATACTGCATAATAATGAACGGAATACGAGTAAAATATAATATATACAAATGCAGTGTAATTGAATCACAGTTATAAAATAATACATGTAATTATCTATTCATAGTTTTTCTGATTTTCCTGGACCTTAAAAAACCCCTAAATTGCTCTCAAAAATCCTATTTTGTACGTATGTGTGTGATGGGGGTGGGGTAACTTAGTTAACTTTACCGAAAAAAAACTAGAACATTGAAGAAGTGTTTATGGGTGTGTATGGGAGGGGGGGGGGCACCGGTATCAAAATAAAGATTTTCTGTAAACAAACTAAACTCAGAAAAAGTACACCTTCCTTTGCAGACTCACTCCTTTTCCCTGAACCACTTATATTGTTATGAATTATGTTTTTTTAAAATTTGTTCACACGTTAATGTTGATCTTTTAATACTGTCACTTTTTCTAATCGTGTTTCTAAAAATATAACCCGCAATACACGGCTAAGACGTAAGTTACTTCGTATGTTTTCCTACTTTTTTCATTCTTGACCCGAAACTCGGATTAATCTGTGGATTATTTGATTCAATCAAATACAGAAGTTAAAACGATTATACTTCATTTTTCTACAGATTTTATTAATTAAAGCATGGCCATTTGCTTATGTAATAATTTTATCTCATAGTATAGTAATGATATTTTTTAAATATTGAATTAAAAAAATACATAACCCAAAAAAATATCGCTCCCATAGCTGTTAGAAAATAAATAATATACTACTACCAGTTTTAGTAAAGCTGAGATCTCGAGAAAATCAAGATCTCAAAGGTATTTGCCCGGGGGTGGTGGGTAGGGGTACTTGTCCCAATTTCGACAGACAAAATATCTTTCCTGCCCTTTGATTGTAGATACCTACCAAAATAGGCCCTCGGCACTTAACGTAGTATTTGAAGATAGGCCCAAAATAGGCCTGCAGCACAAAAAATGTTAAAGGAAATGTGTGCGGGAGTGAATAACTCTCGCACTTGCACCATTACGGAGTTGTAGTTCTCTCCAAAAAAGGGGGAGTACTACATTTTTGCAGCTAAGCCAAATACAACATACTCATTTTCATTGATCATCATTTTTCAGAGTTTTGTTCTACATTACGAGAACACCACAATTTTGTAGCTGCAGCAATCCTTGGTTTGAATTAGAATAGAAACTGTGGCTTGTGACAAAACCTCCATTCTAACATTCCGATTCCAATGTGTAGAAAATCATAATCTAAAGAATTTTACAACTTATCCCTTTTAGGTATCTTTTAAGAAGTAAACAAGCTCTAAATATGTTTCTTTTTGCCATGAATATTTTATGGATTTTGAATGCAGGACAACGTCATGACGTTCGGAATATTATGACGTCATGAACGTTGATTGTACCTTCGCACCATCGGAATTTGGAGTATCAGACCATCATACTTTAGCCCAACGTGTCTCATAGGAAACGAGCCATCGGACTTTGGCGACCATAAAGACAGCGAGCCATCGGGGTTTGGCATAGACCATCGTGTTTTTTTTTTTTTGCGAGACCATCGGACTTTGGAGTCTTACATATATACATTTTTGTGAAGAAATGAAGAAAATAAGTATGATGAATATATATTTTCAGATTTTCAAAACCTCAAAAAAGGTAACAAAAGGTATCTATTAATATGTTTTGCAAAGAATTAATCCTTCGCTAAACGTAATAAACTAATGTCATTCCATTTTTACAGTCTTTAACCTTTTAAGCAGGATTTGATAAAATATTCTATTGCTGAATAGTGATGATATGGGTTTTCTTCATTATTTTCCCCCCAAACAATAGGCATTTGATATAAGTCCAAATAATCGTCAATTTACCTTGCTTAATTCATTGAAATTGCAAAAGCATCTGAAGAAAACACGCATTTCCATTTACTTTAGCGTGGTAGACCAAGAATAGTTGATATTTATACTTGCTGAACAAATCGCTGCTACTAGAGGGTTATAACGCTTAAAATGTAGTTTTGGAAGAGCTCCTCTTTTCAGCAAGTATTCAAAAGTATCGACATAAGTAGGTACAGAAAAAAGTTAAATTATTTATTAATGTCCCTCTCTCAACGATATACTACCATGTCATGTAAGAACTCATCCTCATTCATATTTATTGTTAATTATATTATGTAAATTGATAATAATAATTAACTTTTTGTATATTTTTTTTATGTTTATATAGACATTTTACATAAAACTCTTGCTTTAGGAAAAATGGGTTTGGGGCTTTTCTTGTCAGAACTCAGCTTCGAATTGATTTTAAAAATATATATATTATCTTATCTAATGGTACCAGAAAAATCAAAATATACCTCCCATGTGGGAAAGATGAAGACATCTATTGTGTTTGTCATCCTTCTCGGAAATGTTGGCCCCCTTTTGTACAAGGATTTTCATCGTGCTTAACCATCCTTTTGACGAGACAATGTGTATAGCTGATAATCCTGTGTTGTTCCGTTTTCTTACAGTCGATCCGTCACAAGCAAGAAGTGACACTATCTCGTCCCTCAGATCCACAAGTTTATCCTGAGTGTTGTCGAAGTCGTAAAGTCCATGTTTCAAAAACAACATAAGTGGTGTGTTCCCATTCCTGTCCACGTCATCCAATTTTCCACCGTGTTTTTTATATATCAGTAGGAAATTCAGAAATTCTTCATAAGACTTGTTCTGTCTCTCTAGGTTATGAAAAGCAGAGTATTATACAGCTGTAATTTCATATATTTTTACATATCTTTCCCTTTCCAATGTAGAGAAAATTATAGGATAAATTTTATTATCATCAAAATTAAATTGATTGATGAATATCAAATAGTACAAAAATAATTTAGATTGGCTTAGGGTTGTACTCTTACGAAATTTTTATGGTACAAGTAAACCACAATGTCTATTTTAGCTCCACCGCAAATTAACCTATTGAACAATGAAAGGTCAACTTTTGCAACGGTCGCCGTTTCTGAATTGTCGATTTCCATGGAACTCGTACCTTCTGTCATTCTTTTCATCACATTTGTTAATGGTGTTTCTCCATATGTATTTGGCTTGTTGACACTGCATCCATGTTCAAGCAAAAGCGAGGCTATTTCATTTCTTGCAGACTCTGCCTCTAGAAAAAGGAGTAAAATACACATCTACAATATTTAACTTAAGGTTTTGTGTTTTAACATTTTTTAAAAAAAATATATTTACCTTATTTATCCAGTAATTTATTTCTGTTCCATTAATAAACATAAAAGATATAAAAATTTTATTCAAATTTAGCAATATTTAAACAAGAGGCCCATGGGCCCCAATCATGGGCTCATCTGAGCACTGTGGCTAGGAAAAAAATCAATTTAATAATACCTAAGTGGGTATGATTTCAACTTCTATCTATGCAAACTTGAATCTACACCCAATAAGGATGCTTTAATACTTTTTGACATATTGTGACTTTCTGCCCTATAAGTTTAAACTTTTATTGTGGTCTCACCCGAACCTGGAGTCATGATTTTAACAATCTATACCTAAACTACCTGACTATGCTTCCATATAAACAAGACTAATCATGACTTTGCTGTTCTTGAGAAGATTTTTCCTACATACTTCTATGCTAAACTTTGATTGGCCAGTGTTGCCCTGCCCTACCCCTGGGGATCATGATTTGAACAACATTGAATCTACACTACCTGAAGATGATTCCATATAAATATGACCAATCATGGCTTTGCTATTTTAAAGAAGAAAATTTTTCCTATATATTTCTATGTAAAACTTTGATCGCGGCTATTGTGACACCTCCCTCCCCCCAGGGGCCATGCTTTGAACAAATTTGAATATACACTACCTGCGAGAATGCTTTTAAATAAATATGACTAATCATGGCTTTGCTGTTCTCAAGAAGATTTTTAAAGTTTTTTTCCTATATATTCCTATGTAAAACTTTGATCGTCCATTGTGGCCCCGCCCTACCCCCGGGGATCATGTTTTGAACAAACTTGAATCTGCACTACCTGAGGAGTTTTCCACATTAGTTTAATCTTTCCTGGAACAGTGGTTCTTGAGAAGAAGAATTTTGAAAATTGCCATTAATTTTTCTGTAATTATCAATTCTCTCCACTTGGAATGGGGTGTGGCCCTTCAAGAAACTTGAATCTCTTTACCCAAGGATACTTTGTTGCAAGTTTGGTTGAAATTGGTCCAGTGGTTCTTGAGAAGAAGTCGAAAATTTAAAAAGTTTACAGAGGACAGACAGACAGACAGCTTCATCTAACCCTGACGGACGACAGACAAAATGTGATCAGAAAAGCTCACTTGAGCTTTCGGCTCAGGTGAGCTAAAAGTGTGATTTTACATGTAATCAGGCGAAAATTTTGATAAACGTAGTTTGATAGAATAAATCCAAATTTCGTGTTTTGACATGCCCCTTTTCACTGCAAAAAAGGTTACCTCCAGTTTTCTTTTCAGTTTTTATAAGAAGAATGAAAATTGCACGATATATGTGAAAAAAAGAAGAATTTCATCATATATTTTTTTTAAAATTTTAAATGTATTTGTTTATTGGAGATTTTTCGTATGTAATTGTGTATAAAATCACGACAAATGGTCCATATCTTGACAGTGTCCCCATTTGACTACAATGAAGGCAAGGTAACAAAATTTCATTCTAATTTTTCTTAGCATAAAACATACAAATATATTTCCAAGAATTAATTTTTTTTATCATTCCGTTTTCGCAATTTTCAACTAGATCGGGCCTCGTTAAGAAAATATGTCCAACTTTGATTTGATATGAGAAGGAATATAAATATATCGCTGATAGAAACATCTACTTACTTAAATCGCACGCTACATGCAAGGTAGTATTTTTCTTTCGATCACACGAGTGAATATTTGCTCCCTTTTCTATAAGATATTTTACAATATCTGTATGTCCTGACTTAATGGCCAATAATAAGGGCGGTTCGCCATCTGTATAATGATTTGGATCAGCTCCGTTTTCTATCAAAGACAGAATGAAAACTTTCCAATCAGCATTCAAGCCATAACATTCAATCTTTTTAATGCACTTATCAGGGGCGGATCCAGCAATTTTTGAAAGGGGGGGGGGGTTCCAGGTTGTATCCCTCTACACCAGTCCCCCCCAATACATACCGGGTTACTCTCAAGCAAAGATTCACAGACTTGTATGGAAAGATCTAAGGTTGTGGTAAATAGTATCTTTGTTTTATGTCCTTATTTTAAAAAAACGTACCCCCAGTCCAAACAAACAAACAAAAAAAAAACCATTTCAAATACTACGAAGCCTTAAAATTGTATGGATTTGTATCATTTCCGAAGAGTATAAAGAATTTTCTTTAAGAATTTGAAAAAAAAAACACTTTTTGGGGGTGGGGAGCTGGTGGGCTTTTAAACAGTAACATGTTAGTTCCTTCAATAGATCTAGATATGATAAAAAACAGTATATACATGATATAGCCAACACAGCCATAGAAGTCGGGAAATAAGTAATATGAGTAATATATTTTCTACTATTCTCTCATTAAAAAAGTAATAGTGAAGATGAACGGAGGAAACTTAATGTGTAAGAATCTATCTATTCAATAAATAAGTAAGACGCAGAAATATTTATTCTCGGAAAACGTTTTATCATCTCTCTCTCTCTCTCTCTCTCTACACTTTGCAAAAAATAAAGGGGGGGGGTTCCAACCCCCGGAACCCCCCTCTGGATCCGCCAATGCTTATTCAATACAAAGTTTATGTTTTCTTTTCATTTTTATGAGAAGAATGAAAATTGCATGATATATGTGAAAAACAAAGAATTTAATCATTTTTTTTAATTTGTAAATGTTTTAGCTTGTTGGAAAGTTTTAGTATGTATTTATGTATAAAAACACGACAAATGGTCCATATCTTGACAATGTCCCCATTTGACTACAATGACGGCAAGGTAACACAATTGCATTCTAATTTTTCTAAGCATAAAACATACAAATATATTTCCAAGAATTAAATTTTTTTATCATTCCGTTTTCGCAATTTTCAATTAGATCGGGCCTCGTTAAGAATATATGTCCCACTTTGATTTGATATGAGAAGCAATATAAATGGATGGATATTTTATAATCGAAGTTTTCCAATTAAAATATGCTGGAGTTCAAGCAGTTTAGATGATTTCAAGTAGTTCCGGTTTTCGCCACCTATCGTTGTTATTTATAGTTGTAACAACAGAGGTCGTCTCAAAATTCATTTTTAACGATCAGATCTTAAGTTAATAAGGACAATAATATTTTTCCCCACTTTTTTAAAGACTTGAACTCGAAAATGTAATATCAATTATATCATATATAAAGAAGAAAAGATCATGTTTCTACAACTTTATTAACGATAAAATAAACTATCAAATATTTTTAAAAATTTAAAAAAAAACCATATTTTGGTACAATAAAAATCAGAAAATTGCATTGGAAAAGACTAGAAAAATCATCAAAATAAAAAATATAATTAATCAAAGAATTGTTGTTCATTTCATACAAAAGACTAGAAATATGTCCATAGGACATAAATGCCCAACACATAATTCACCAGTTCACTTAATTGTATTTGAATGCACATGAAACTTTGCTTTATATAGTGTGTGAAGATTGAAGAAAAGGTTGAACTTGAGTACATGTACTTTCAAAATAACTCAGTTTTATACACAGTAGATGAGAAAGTTGAAGGCCATAGGGAAAGTCAGTTTTAAAAGAAATTGCACACAGTTGATAAATTTTTAGCAAATTTAAAATTATGTATAAGTTACAAATTAAAATATCTTGAATAGTTTTTTTGGTTTGAAAAACAAGGTAAAGGTAAAAACAAATCTTTAAGCAGTTGAATTCCTCTCACTATATGTGTCAGCAAATGAAGTTTGATAAAAATATCTTGAAAAATTTCTTTTAAACTGAGCTTAACACAAAGTGTCATTGATTGAAGGACAGAAGGACAGATGACGGACATGACAAACACTATACATGTTACGTGTAATATACATTATTAACCTCTGCAAAAAATTCTCCATTTTAATCCAGAATTGTCTAAAAAAAATTTGATAAACCTTTCGGCACATGACCTATCACTACAATTGTAATTAGCAGCAACCCTCTTTTGGGGTCATTGGTGGTTTCATAAAGTTCTTGCTTTATTTTGATTTCGGACATTTTCTTCTTTTTTTCTTCCCATGACTACTTTTAGTTTCTTTGGACTCAGTGATATATTAGATATAGCAAAACACTGAAAAAAAAAAATAAATACACTCTACATTGTATAATATTTAATGAGATTGTCAATTCTTTACAGATTCTCGATTTATCATTCAATTTGATTAATTTGTTTATATGAATTTTCTTCTAGGGATCTTTGAATTTGTAGTATCTTCTGTAAACAGCAAGAGAGAGAGAGAGAGAGAGAGAGAGAGAGAGAGAAAGAAAGAGAGAAGCTAGATGGGGGAGGAGAAAGATACTTAAAGCCATGACTATGAAATTAATGATACTATCTCAGCCTTTTCAAATGAACATAATTTATCATAAAACTCTGAATGTAAAATGAATTCATGTGTCTGACTTTTTGTTTACGTATTTTCTCTTATTTGTTTTACCAGCTCTTTTGAGACAACCCCGTATATGGTTAATTCGGAACTGCTTAAAATGGGATGTTGTGAATATTGCTCTTTATTTTGGATTTACGTCGTATTTTAACGAAACCGAAATTTCATGAGAGAGAAGATACATCAATGTGTCATTCACATATCTTAAATGAAATACATACCTTACCACAGTTTCAGAGCACGTCTTTACTTTCAAGATAGCACGTGTTTAATGTCGGTCAACGTCACTTAAGGTCATACGCAACGTAGTTTGAACTTTTTTGGGTTCTTCCCTGGAGTTGAAGAGTTCCACTAAAGGAAGGACCTGTGTGCAATATTTTTAATGTCTATATATGGATTTGTACACCTCTTCTAAAACAATTTTAATGAAAA